TCCCTGTTTCCAGCACAGGGGTAGGGATGGCGAATCCAAACTCAACCCCTCATCCTTTGCATGGCAAATTATTTACCGTCTGAATCATTTCCCTAAAGATTATTTATTTTGTATGTGTGTGAGTCTAAGATCTGGGTTGTGAACTCTAGTTGCCAGCCTTGGCAGCAAGTGCCTTCACTGGATGCACCCCTAACAACTCAATGCTTTGATTACTCAGCTAATAATTGAAAATAGCTACATTTACACCAGGTGTGGTGGTGCAGGCCTTTAATCTCAGTGCTTGGGAGGCAGAGGTAGACAGATCTCTGTAAGTTTCAGAGCAGCCTAGTCTATATAGAGTTCCAGGACAGCCAGGGTTACATAGAGACCCTGTCTCAAAACAAAACAAAATAAAACAAACCAATTAAACCAAAAAAAAAAAAAACTAAAATGGCTACATTTATTAGAACAAAGTATTGAAATGACTTGAGTTTTTCACATTTTCCTTCAAATGGAATTTCAAGTTACAAGAAGCTAAGAAGCAGATAAAAGATTAGATTGAGGGTACTGTGGACAGGTTGACAATCTGCAATGGTTTAGAAGCTGATGCCCTTCACTTAAGAGTTTCTAAAGACTTGTTGCAGGCCTTGGCTTTCCATGTTGTTCTGAGCTTTGGATCTTAGTCAGAGTCTCCTAGGCAAATAAAAATGCCCAAAAGAAAAAAGAATCTGTTGACTCTGGAATACTGAAATCATTGCAAGGTTTTATTTAAGGTATGGAAATTGGTTTGACATTGTTTTTCATCTGTTGGAACATTTAGATTGCTTGAGAATTAATTCACATTTTTGACATAGACTTCATTAACCTGGCCTAAAACTCAGTCTTTCTGCCTCAGGTCCCAAGGGCTAGGATTAGAGATGTGTACTACCACAGTGGCTTCAAGAAGAAATCTGTGTCTGTTTTTGCATCCCTGTGCAGAGGGTGGATAGGGTGTATGGTGGCAGGAGGGAAGAGATGGGTGTTAGGGCTCCTGTAGCACATATGTTCTCCTTCGGTACATACTACAAACATAAGTTCTGATGAAGACTGGCGGGGAAAAACCAGCATTACTGTTTGTATAAAGAAGTAAAGATGAATTTTATAGTGTGATGGCTTTATACTGTTTTTTTGAGATTTTTGTGTGTTTGGTCTGCATGTATGTCTGTGAACCATGTGCATGCACAAAGGCAAGGGAGGCATCAAATCCCCTAGAACTGGAGGTACAGATAGTTGTAAACCTCATCTTGGTGCTGGGAATTGAATCTGAGCCCTCTAGAAGAGCAGCCAGTGAGCCATCTCTTCAGCCCTGAGGCTTAGTTTTAAATGCCAATTTGTCACAACCTAGAATCATCTGAGGGCCTCAGTTGAGGACTCTTCTAGATCAGGTTGGTTAGTGAGGCATTGTCTTGATTGGGCGATGTGGGAAGACCCAGCTAGCCATTGTGGGCAGTACTCATATGAATGGTTAAGAACAGAGAGGGCTGAATACTGGGCAACAGCAAGCAGGCAGCAGGCAACATGGGTTAATTCATTTTTCTTTGTTCTCAGCTGTGGATTTGATGTAACTAGCTGCTAGTGATGTGACTTTCTCCCTTGTCTTCCCCTTGGGGATGGACTATAACCTGCATTTGTAAGCTGAATAAACCATTGCTCTCCTAAGCAGCTTTTGGTCAGGGTGTTTTATCACAGTATAGGCAGGAAATTAAAACAAAGGGCAGGTGAAGGTTTCCAGGTTATCTTTGCAGGAAAGTCAACAAGACAAACAAAAATATGCTTAAAGGAGATTAAGAACAATTACAAACTACAAAGGAAGTCACCTTTAATGTAATTAGGGAACTCCATTTTGTCTTAGTAAAACAGCCACCACCTTTATCAGATCAGCTGTTATATGTGCTTCCAAGGGTCCATTCCATGATCTTGTATACTGCTGACATTCTATCACCGAAGGGTACACAAAAGGAGTTATTGGGTCCTTGCCTGCATACTTAGCCATTTGTGGGCAACTTTCCCCTAATTGCACCCTGGTGGGGAGTGTATCTGTGAGGTGAGGTGTTAGCATTATATTGGTTGGAAGGCTATCGGAAAGGCCTCCATTTGTGCAGCCATAATCCATGTTGAATGCAGACCTTCCCAGTGCAGCTGCTTCAGAGGCACTCACATTCTTGCCCCTTAACCCCTTACCCATGCTCAGTAAGCAACCCTAATAAACTCATGGTTCCTCATGGTGAACTGTATTTTGTCAGATCTTACAGACTGAGTCAGTCCTCATTGTTAAGGAACAGTCTGTGTTGTGATCTGACAGCTCTCATTTTATACTCAGCTTCCCTGTGTGCTGTCTCACATTCCTCTTCTCTCATGGTACCTACCTCACATCCTCACTCTTGATGTTCCTTTATCTATGTTCTGTCACACATCCCTCTCTAATGGAGGCTAGTTCACATTCTTACTCTTGATGTTCCTCTCCAGGCTTTAAATGGAAACTGCTTTTGCAGTGGCTCTCAGCCTTTGTGTCAGGACCCCAAGCACCATCAGAAAACAGATATTTACATTATGATCCATAACAGTAGCAAAATTACAGTTATGAAGTAGCAATAGACATAATTTTATAACTGGGGGATCACCAAAACATAAGGAACTGTATTAATGGGCCACAGCATTAGGAAGGTTGAGAACCACTGCTCTACAGGCTCAAACTCAAGTCATCAGACTTGGCAGCAAGCACCTTTACCTCTTATGCCATCTCACTGCTTTGATAACTTTTGACAGCTGTATCCAACCCAGGACCAAATACTCTAAAGGAGGCAGATGAAAAGTCCCTCATGGCCCTTTCTAATGCAAAGGTGAGTCCTGTCCTTTGATTTCATGAGACCATGAAATTTGCACTTTCTAGTTCTGGACCATCCATGGGTAACATGATGGTTTGTAGTGCCGCTCTTACCCTGTGAGGAAAAATCATGAAACACGGCAGAATCCACTAACAAGAGTTTTATTAAGACAAGGAGAAAAGGATAGATGTGATCAGGCCTGCAGAAGGACACGTGTGAGAAGGGGGTAGGGGGAACATGGGGCCTGCCTTTTAACGGCCATCTTTCACCTGCACACACAGGCCCACGTGGCTACTCTACGCATGCATATAGATCATGTGATCACACTGGTGCGATTATGTGACCACGCAACCATGGAGCATGGGTTATGTAGGACGTATGACCCAGAAATGACTAGGCGGAAATTACAAGTGTTCCGCAGGGCATGCGACCATGGGGGCGTGATTGGAATTACTATCATCCCAGACTCTTTGTTTTTATAAAAGATGGCAGATGAATGGGTATGGGGCATTGTTTCTCCCAAAAACTGCTTCCAGCTGATTTGGTAGGTGTCGGTTGGCCCTTGGGAGGGATAGGGAAGGGAGCGTCTGAAGTCCTAGGATGGTGGGCTGTCGTCCGCTGCCCTGGAGTTGTCCATCCTTTCTGGTTCAGAACTCTTTGGCTGACAGGATACTGGTGAGACAGAAAAGGCTTAGGAAAAAAGAATCATTATTATTTTTATTTTCTTTGGAGTGTTCCCAGACCAGGGGAGTTGGCACTTATCTGAAGTAGATCCAGCCTGTCCAGATGGATTTAAACTGGTTTCTGGAGCTTGGGGAAAAAAATTGAACATGTTAAGAAGCAGCCATAAGAAAATTAGTGAACATTGTAGTGTCTATTACTCTGCTTAGTTTTTACCTGAGATAAGCTTTATTAGAGGTAGTTTATTCAAGGCACCTGTTTCTTTTATTAGTTTAGCAATCAGGAGATACAGGTGGTCAATTGTTGAGAGAATTCAACAGCGATACACTGTTACATTAGTGTCTGTTTTTGCAGAGCCCAGACACTTTTGGCTCTGGGGGTATAAATACCTTTTGATTATTACTGTTTTTTGTTTGTTTTTTCCTTACTGCCTGGATATGTCTGATGGTACTTTTGCCTCTGGCTCTGTGGTGGCCCTAATTAGGAAAGGAAGAGCTTATGGGGTGATACCTCGTTCCTCTGGATTCGGTGACAAGGCCAAAGATCGTAATGTCATCTGGAGCTTGAGAGAACAGGGCCCTGTCTGTGTTGCTGTATACGAAGGGAGATTTTTCTGGGATGGAGGTGAGATAAAAGGTTTCAGATAAGACAGATGGACCCAGTGAGGGAAGCCCTCAAGTTTAGCAGCTGTGGGGGTTACAAGAATTATATTGAAGGGTCCCTGCCACTTAGGGGGGAGGGGTGAAGGGTGCTGGCCTGGAGAGGAAAGAAGAACCTGGTCCCCAATATGGATTGGGGGTGGGCAAGGACTATCACATGGTTGAGGTAAAGAATGTTCTGTGAAGTTCCACAGGATAGACCTTAGGTGACATAGCAGGGGGGTTAACAGGCTGTCTGGAACAGTTGAAGGGTTGGATAGAAGACCTGGTGTTAGAACCGTCCTTCCATACATTAGTTCAAACGGAGAAATTGAAGGAGGCTTTTTAGGAAGAACCCTGAGCCTGAAAAGAACTAGAGGCAACAATCTTACCCAGTTGAGGTGAAGTTCCTGTGACATCTTAGTAAGAATAGATTTTTAAAGACCGGTTGGTACGCTCCACCTTTCCTGAGGACTGAGGATGGTATGGGATATAAAAATGCCAAGGAATGTTAAGAGGCTTAGCTAGTGTTTGGGAAACCTGAGAGGTGAACTCCGGACCATTGTCAGACTGAAGAGAAGCAGGAATCCCAAACCAAGGAATAATTTCTTAGAGAAGGAGATCTGCAACTGTCTGAGCCCACTTATTAGGAACAGGGTATGCCTCCACCCAATTTGAAAATAAGTCCACCATCACAAGGAGATATTTAATTTTCCTGACGGTGGTTGGCATATGGGTAAAATTGAGCTGCCAGTCAGTCCCTCTAGTCTGGTGGATGGGAAAAGGCTGACTCCTGTACTTGGTATTGGGATCTGTTTTTTTTTGGCAAATCTCACAAGAGGCAGTAATAGTTCTTAAGAACTGTAAGTCCTCAGAGGTGGGCTTTTACAAATTGAGACAGAGCAAGACTATTAGGATGAAAGAGCTGGTGTAGATAGAACAGAATTTGTCTAGTGTCAGGGGTTCCCTGTGAGGGTGTGAGCTGCACTGTATGGATTCCCTGTGGGTGGGATGGGAAATGGCCCTGGAGGGCTGCTGTTCTGGCTGCCTAGTCAGCCCAGTTGTTTCCCTTAGAAATGTTGGAGCTATTGATCTGATGAGACCGGTGGTGGACAATTCCTATAGCCTTGGGGAAGTGGGAAGCCTTTAGCATGGCCATTATTTGGCCTGAGTTAGATATGGATACCCCTTTTGCTATAAGGAGGCCATGCTCTCTCCAAATAGCAGCGTGGGACAGGAGGACATGAAAAGCATATTTGGAGTGTGTATAAACATTTAGGGATTGTCCTTGTGTCAATTAAAAGGCATAGGTGAGAGTTATCAACTCAGCCTGTTGATTAATGATGTGTGCAGGTAATGTCTGTGCTTCTATTTACCTCAGTATCGGACACTATTGCATAGCCTGCTTTATGGGTCCCCACATGTGAAAAGGAGCTGCCATCTGTGTACCAGGTATAAGTAGCCTGAGGCAATGTGCCCTCCTATATGTGTGAAGGGTGAGTAACAATTCCTCTAAGGTTTCAGAGCAGGAATGAGAAGGAGAATAATCAGCATTAGGTTGAGGGAGGAGGCTTGAAATATTAAGGGGTGGACAGGTCTGGAAATTAAGTGTGGCATCTTTCAGTAATGCCACCTGGAGAGAATGAACCCAGGAAGGAGGTAAAGTTTGTAAGCCTTTATAAGTTAAGAGATGGGACAGGTTATGGTGAGAGAAGACAGTAAGAGGTGATCCAAAGTTTAGCTTCTTTGATTCCTGAATAAGGTAAGGTCTAGCTTCTTTGACAGGTATGCTACAGGTGCAAAGTAGGGTCATAGCTGATGCCCTAGGGTTCCCAGGGCAAATTCTCCCTCCTTTGCTACATAGAGGGAGAAGGGACAGCTTAGGTCTGGGAGGTGAAGCCCTGGGGCCTGGAGAAGAGCCTGTTGGAGCTTCTGGAAAGGTTTAGTAACAGGGTAAAGGAGGGGCTCGTGTGGGGAACCCTGAGCTGCCTCATATAAGGGGTGAGCAAGGAGAGAGAAAGACAGAACCCAAGACTGTAGGAAGCCAGCTATTCTTTTTTATTTTAAAGATTTATTTTGTATACAGTCATCTGCCTCCAGGCCAGAAGAGGGCGCCAGATCTCATTACAGATGGTTGGGAGCCACCATGTGGTTGCTGGGAATTGAACTCAGGCCAGTGCTCTTAACCGCTGAGCCATCTCTCCAGCCCCCAGCTATTCTTAGGAAAGACAGAATCTCCTGTTTAGTAGAGGGGACTGAAAGAGACTTTATTAGGTGCTTTCTATCTACAATATTAGCCTTGTGGGTTGGAGTAATGGTTAGACCCAAATAGGTGACCTGGTGAGTTGACAGCTGAGCTTTAGAAGGGGATACCCTGTAACCTCGGCTGGATAAATTTAGGAGAGCAGAGGTATTAGTTTGGCTAACCTGTAAGGACGGGCTACAGAGTAAAATATCATCTACATACTATATTAGTTTAGAGCCAGGGGGAGACAGAGAAAGCAGGTCAGAGGCCAGAGCTTGACCAAATAGGTGTGGACTGTCTCTGAATCCTTGTGGCAGAACAGTCTCCAGGTCAACTGTGTGGACTGATGAGTGTCGGGGTCAGTCCAGGTGAAAGCAAAGATATTTTGAGACTGAGGGCTGAGAGGAATAGAAAAGAAGGCATCCTTGAGATCTAGAACTGAGAAGTGATAGGTTCCTGAAGGGACAGTGGACAGGAGAGTATAAGGGTTAGGCACTACTGGATGGAGAGGGACCACTGCAGAATTGATGAGCCGGAGGTCTTGAACTAGGCAATAGGTTCCATTAGACATTTTAACTGCAAGTATGGGGATATTAAAAGGCAAAGAGGTTGGGTGGAGCAGCTTTTTCCCCGAGAAGGTCAGGCTTAAGTCCTCTTAGGCTCTGGAGTGAGAGAGGGTACTGAGCTTGGGTAATATACCTAATAGGGTCCTATAACTGGATAGTAATAGGCTGATGGTGCCTAGCGATAGAAGGGTTCTGGGTGTCCCAGACTTTTGGGTACACCTGAGAGGCTGGCAAGGGAAAGGAACTGATAGAGTTAGTACAGTGGGTGGCTAGGAGAAGAAGAGGAGCTGCTGGCAAGTCTGGGGTGAGGCGAATGTGTGGAGCAAATGAATGGACACTCCTACCTTAGCTAGAAAATCCCTTCCCATTAGAGGCACAGGGCAGGTTTGGCACCACTAAGAATGTGTGTGTGAGAGGGATGCCCCTGAAAATACAACTAAGTGGTGGGGTCTGGTGAGGTAGATAAGGCTGTCCCCTAACCTAGACAATAGGTAAACGAGGAGAAGTAGGGCCCCCAAACTGTCTCAGGACAGAATAGGTAGCTCTGGTGTCCAGAAGGAAGGAGATGCCATGCCCAGATATTATTATTGCTACCCTGCGTGAGATGGGAATGGCTGGGGGGGGG